AGTTGTTGAGGCCGGTCACGCATGGGAGCGTCGTATTCCGCAGGCACGAACTGATCGTTAAGTCCTTGAGGTTAACAATGGATATATGCACTTGATCCATGGATCTGCTGATGCAATGGCCAATTGGTGCTTAGAGCTGGTGGCCACATGTACATCTGAATGGGCGCTAACAAAGGCCTCGAGCGTCTGCTCATACACCTAAGAATGGCCGCGTACCGTGGACATAGATAAGAACGCCCGTGGGCGCAATGCGAGCGGTGCACTAAGGCATGGCATGATGGCTGAATTTAGCTACACAGCTGAAGACGGGCAATAGACCGTCCATTGAATTCGAAGTGGTTGGGGAACAATCGGTGGTTATATTCATAGTGCAACGTTTCGTTTTTATCACAAAAGCTTCGTCACGACAGATGAATCAGTATGCTATTGCATCGGCATTTTATACCGGTCTGGGGCGACGATCGTGGCTACTGTAGTATGAGTATAGGTTTAAGTACAATTACAGGTGGGGGTAAATTCCCAAGTCTTTTCAGTCACAGCTGGAAACCTACGTAGGTTCCCACATACATAATCGAATCCAAGGATCAGGCTTGGTGGTGGCGATTTGGAGTCACTTTTCACTTCTAACTGGATCCCCGCATCGACACTCGTCAGACTGGCCGGATTAAGATCGCCCACCATGCAGTCGGAAGCTACAACCCACCATCTTATTCACATCGCCGTCGGTTTTGAAGAGTTCCAGCGCCTCGGTAATCAACCACTAGGGCATTGCTCGTATACCACTCCAAATGACCTTAACATTATCCAAGTGGATCTGGTGACCGTGTCTAGTTCATGCACAGCCACGGCCGAGTCTCTTTACAGTACCGGTATTCAAAATCGTTCACCAGTTGTCGTGAAATACGTCTTTCTATGCTCGGAAATTCGTATGCATATATTTCTCGCTGTTTGGACCTTGTATACATCGGCACCTACTTCCGGTTTTATTTTACAGGCGTCATTATTTGTCCTAGCCTCCTACAACATTTCTATCCACCCTATTCACCCTATCCACTCAGTTGTGGGTCGTGAGTGTTCATTTGCTACTTTAGCTAACTGGCGTTTGACTAACCGCCGTGAGTAACCACTATCAGATTGTTTGTACATGATCTCTTTCCGCACGGCCTTTTCGTCCTCCTCCATTGTGCACAGGATTTGTACTTTGTGAAACAGAAGTGAAGGTATCCTAGTGTGAACATATTGCAGAGGACCCAAATCGTTGTGGAGTATCGCATCAGTATCTACTGACTTGCGTTTTATGGTCTCCAGCAAATTTCACCCATTTCTCTGAACTAGACCGTATACCGCTACGACGCCCCCTCTCCTTAATGGAGTTTAAATGGTTAAACGCCTTCCACATCTTATCTCGTATAACAACTACAAATTTGTCGTGTACGTATCCTAGCGAACAGCCAAGCGCGCCCAGCGGTTCTTACCGCGGTCTGCGCGTAGCCTTTACTAACCTATGCAGTCTGATGAACCAGCGCGATATGCTGTACGACTTTGTAAGCTCTCAGCGACCAGACGTATTAGGCCTTGCTGAGACATGGTTAAACTCCGAGGTAACCATCCAAGAAGTGGAAATAACCGGCTACTCATGCTTCCGCTGTGATAGACCATCAAAGGTGGCGTTCTACTTTGCATAAAGTCTTCCTTGTGTGGGAGACTAGTGAGCGCCTACCAAAGCGCTGATGGTCTATGTGAGCAGTTATGGTGTTCGATTCACCTTAGACGCTGCGAGTTGCTCGTGGGCGTGGTATATCGCAGTCCACTGAGCCGCAGTTTGGACTGGTTGCCGCATGTCCGCAACCACATGAGTCGTCAGATGTTCCTACTCATGGGCGATTTCAACTTGCCCCGAATACAATGGCCTGAAGCTGAAGTTCTCCTCGGCCACTGTGAAGTCGAGAGGAAGTTTACGGAGTTGCTATTTGAAACTGGGACCACACAGCACATCAACCAACCGACACGCATTACTGCGCGCGCGGCTCCATCATGCTTAGACCTGCTGTTGACTAGCCGTGAGCAGCGTGTGCATAACATACAAGTCTTAGAGCCTCTGGGAGCGACCGACCACTCAAAGGTCATACGCAGCTTGGAACTACCACAGCCGTATTTTCCCTCACCGGAGCCAGCCTTCAACTATTGGAAGGCGGACTTTAATGGCCTCATTCGAGCAGCGAGCCAGACGGACTGGTCTTTACCACAGGATTCATCTATTGAAACCTGTTGGACTATCATTAAAGAGGGAGTGAAATCGTTGTGCGCCCGATTTGTACCCCTCAAATTTCGGAAAGTTGGGCCAGTCAAACCACATTGGCTCGACAAAGAGTACAACAAACTGGCCCGACGACGCAGACTATGGAACAAGTTCATGTTATCTGGCTCTGATGAGGACTACAATGCGTATAAGATACAGCGAAATCACTGCAACGACACGAAAACAAGAAAACGCAGAAGCTTCGAAGAGGAGCTTGCAGCCGCCGCAAAAACGGCTCCCAAGTGGATCTTTGCATACGTGAAACGGCGCTTGAAGCCTGTAGCCAATGTCCCAGCGTTAGAAGCCTCCGATGGACAGCCCCTAACCTCGAGTACAGATCGTGCGTCCGCATTGGCGACGCACTTCGCCTCCGTATTTGCGAGTGACCAGGTGTCTGTAACGAGTTCGACGAGTACCGCTCCAGCCGAACTTCACAGCCTGGACTGCAATATTGAGGATGTGCGCAAGCTTCTAGCAAATCTTGACGGGATAAAGCCTGCTGGGCCAGATGGTATACACCCACTGATCCTCAAGTCCCTATCGGCATCATCGCGCCTTCCGTAACTGAACTGTTTAACAGATCCCTATCCACTGGACTGTTACCAGACGACTGGAAATGCGCAGTCGTATAGCCCATACCGAAAGGTGGTAATGCAAACAAAGTGGATAACTACCGGCCGATCTGCCTGACTGCTGTTTTGGCAAAGACGCTTGAGAAGATCGTGAAGAAGAACCTTCTGCAGCTTTTCGAGTGGAAAAACCTGTTGACCTCCGCACAGCATGGTTTCATGAAAGGTCGCTCGTGCATCATCAACCTATTGTTGACAAGGCACGCGTGGTTACAAGCGATGAACCAAGGCCATTCAGTCGAGGTCATTTACATTGACTTCGGTAAAGCTTTTGACAAGGTTAACCATGCAGTGCTCCTTGACAGACTGAGGATGTACGGTGTTGGTGGTTCGCTGCACAAATGGATCAGAAATTTCCTTGTGGATCGGAAGTGGAGAGTCCAGGTGGACAACCATCTAACGAACTGGTATCCATCGAGCAGCGGCTTGCCCCAAGGCACTGTACTGGGGCAGATATTGTTTCTAATCCATATAAACGATGTGCCTAAGCTACTCCAATCACCATGTGCGTTGTTCGCAGATGACTTGAAGGTGTGGAGAGTAATCCGCATACTCGATGATTGTGATTTACTACAGCAGGAACTCGACCGACTCTTGACATGTTCTGCAGAGGTTAACATTCCGATCAACCCTGCCAAGTCGCAATTTATGAGGTTGGGTAAATGCGAGCACAGCCGAACGTACACAGTGGCTGGTCAACCGCTGCATCCCGCGTCTTTCGTGCGCGACCTTGGTGTGCTCTCACGCTGCGACCTAAAGTCCATTGACAACACGAATAGGCTGTACCAAAACAGCCTTCGGATGCTTTGGGCGCTCAGGCGCAGCTTCAGCACTTGGTCCGAAGCGATTGCCACTCGCCTCTTCGTCTCGATTATACGACCAATGCTAGAATACGGCTCTCCCGCATATTGTCCCATCACGCTGGGAGAGGTAAAAAAGCTTGAGAGGGTGCAGCACGTAGCCACTAGGCTGATTCCCAACTTACGAGGTATGCCATATGAAGACCGATGTAAGAAACTAGGGCTCTGCACCCTAGTATATCATCGGCTGAGGGTTGACCTCATCATGACGCACCGGATATTACATCTGAGTGATTACCCAAAGTTGAGACAACTGCTTCATTTGCGCACACCAAGCAGCACGCGAGGACACCGGTACAAACTTATCGTACCGCAGTAGAAGCGGGTCGCTCACCAACTCTGTTTCGAACGCAGAGTGGTGAACGTCTAGAACGATCTGCCGCAGCATATCGTAGAGGCCAACTCAGTGTCCGAATTTTAGAAGCATTTAGACAAATACTATGCAGAGGCAAAATATAGAGAGCGAGACGATAACTAAGGCGTAAATGTCCAAGAGCGACGATTGACGCAGCTACACAGAGAAAGTTCTACTTGTTGCTTCCAACAGTATTCAGTATTCACGGTACGTTACGAACGTATCGTGAGCTAGTTGTGTTTATGAACGTCCAGTTTTTGAATTCTTCTGTAGAAAAGTGCAGTGGCACATTGATTATTGGCACTCTCATGCAAAGACCTTGTTCCTAATTGTATACTATCGACTGGGAAACGAAGTACGACATATTAAGACACATTTGCATACCCTCGACTATTTGGTCAACAATACGTTTCGTCCGATCATCTGCAGTGCTCTTTTCATTCAGACGATTTTTGTTCCTGATCTTTCTTGGTTATATTATATAACGTGTAGTTAAACCTTGGCTTACCATTAGTTTTTCCGTCTCGTTGCTTACCATTGCTATATTACGGCTCGTAAGAGTTCTTCACGAATATACTCGCTTGGCCTGTCAGAACCGCAATATCTCCTGGAAAACTCCACAGAGTTTTCGGATCGAGGATCTTAATCCAGCAAGTTAATTTTCTTCTTTAAGTCATGAATCCTGTCTTTTTGAATGTAATGGTATCCCGACCATTGTATTTATACTTAGGTACGTATGGAGTTGGGAGGTAGTCTACTGCAACAATTAATCTCTAACACTGTGCTTCGTGGCACGGTAACAATAGCCCTGTAACGTACTATGACTCTTCTCTTCATGTGATTTATCTTTTTCAAAGGAATGTTATGTGGGGATTTGTGCAAAACAAAAGCGCATCAACAAGACAGTGTATCATTGTGGACGCTACTCTGATTGGACGTCGTGTTCCCGGTATTGTGGCATTGGGACGCAGTTTCGTATGAGGAGATGCCATTTAGAGTGAGTTCGTAAATGTTACGGAATATACAGTATCCAAGTATCTTGTATTGAAGTCACCATATGTGACAACTCACAATTGTTATCAGTGTCGCCTTTGCTCAATTTGACCGCCCCGTCAGATGACTACATTTAGTTCCAACCCGGAAAATTTAAATCTTAGGAAACAAATGCTTATGCTGCACGCAAAACGGACGCTTGCCACTTGGGTCCATAGGCCAGTTGAACTGAACGCGCAGAGTTAAAAAATATCCTTGCAAGCGACGTTCTTACAAATTTATTGGTTTCTGCGGTTGCTGCTAAAACAATATATCATAACGCCAGGTACATTGCACCGGTTATGCAAATCTCTACTTAGGTTCCATGCCTCAACAGGATACAATACGCTATACATACTTTTCAACGCAATTCACCGGGCTGTTTCCATCAAATTCCCACTGGTGCCCCATTGCATGTAGATTAGTAAGACTGTTCTTAGTCGGCTGAGGTTTCCCAGTTACCGTCGAACGTTTTCAAATGTTCGACTTCAGGCTCGGAGCAACCGGAATGGCGGCTTTGTAGCTTTAATTTCCATTGGAATAACACCAGCTGTGATTTACAAGGACAGTTAATTAGTATCGTGTCGTCGCCGACGCCTTCACCTCACAACCTTAAGAAGAACTCCAAAGATGAGCCGGGTGAGACTTGTATGCATTAAATCACACTCTGCTTATACACCAGGTTCCAAAAATAAGGTCCAATTTGACTGTTGAACAACGTGCACGCCTTATGGTGACACGGGAGAGCACAAAATTAGCAACTGTCTAACGCTGGATGTTGGTCTGTCAATATTTTGCTCACTCGGTCAAAGGGGTATGACAGGCTACAGTGATGGCAGAACCCCAGGGCAGCGGGTCTACACCCTCGGTTACTGGTGTTCTGAGATTGGATGGCCAAACAGACCCAGACCAACAGTAGTTGCCACACCGATTTCGGAACGCCAGGCCAACCGACAGGTTAACCGACGGGTGTTGTAACTATGGATGGGCAGACCGAACAACCGCACTACGGGAATAAGAAATGCATCCAATGTCAGTGCACCAGTATAGTTTTGAAAGTTACTAAAATCCCTTCGAGCCAACCAAACAGTGAGAAAACGCTGAATGCAACAAGCGAATGAGCAGCCGTGGAATGCAGAACCAAGAAGATAACTTCTTGGAGGTGCCATCATGGGACACAAACCATACGGTGAACATCCACTCACAACAACGGGTGCAGGCCAACGACGCAATGGGGTGTTTAAACAAAGGTCACGGAACAGACGATAGGAAGAACCGCGAACCCGGAAATCAGGAATTAATACGAATATGTATGCCTAATAAACAGTCCTCTTACGTAACTAAATAACCATTTATGGGAGTAAGAAACAATCAAACATGTCCTTGGAAATGATGCTTCTACGTCAGGTCAGCATCCACTAATAAGGACTAACGTTTGCCAATCGACTTAAGGAACTGGAGGGTATAACCAACTGTTATGAGGTAGGCGAAAGGAAGAATAAAATTGATAACTAAAACCATCCACAAACTTGGAAGTCAACTAGAGATTCTCCTAAAAATAAGCATATGACGGATAGCGTTTACCGTCGGTTTATGTGGGCTAGTAGCCAAAAATGTAGAGGTGCCACTATCACACTATTGCTGACAACGCTACAGTAACGACAATAAAGTGTTAGTTGCGTAAATTCATACTGCTTCGTTTACATAAAAGACACCACGACAGAACAATGAACTATCCGATTGCACTTGAAATTGCTCATTCACTGAGTGCTATATTAAGGATTATTTATGAGAGCTCTTATGAAGCGTTTTCTTTTCCTAGACGTGTGCAACATAGTACAGTAGCTCTGAGTTGTTCGCCGTATATACAATTTATAAGGGGAAGGTTGTTTGTATGCTCAGCAAAAACTCGGATAACAATTTGACTTCCACGAAACACGACTGCTCCACGATCGTGGCAATAGCCAGTGATCCATCTTGATTGTGTAACTTACCTTCGTCATTCAAACAAAGCACGTCAAAATATGAAACCGGTGACTTTGGGAATTCGCCTGGAAACTGAAAGATTGTTCATGTTGTGCAGAAAACCGCCGCTTCCGAATCAGTGATAAGAGTTTTGGGGAAAAAGAAGCAATATGCGACGCTAATGAATGCCTCGACTGAATGAAATAACTTCCATGGAGTATAGCCATGAGTGATTAGTAGTCCTCATTTGAGACCAGCAAAGGGAGGAGCATGTAGTTAAACCGAGGTGTTGCTTGATATCCCCTGTGTGACTGCGCTTGATGTGCATGTTGACAAGGTGCCTACCTGTCTATTACCCACAACTTCGTCCATACTGGCTCCAGGAGACAGTTGGTCGTTGCTGGAGGGGACAGGGTGCACGTTCCTTGTGGCCGTGTTAGGCTCGAAGAGTGGTTCCATGCACTCAGTGTGGAGCGGACTACGGTCCAGCCACCGCTTTGTGTGCGCTTGATTCCCAAATACAGCGTGCTTGTGTTTGCCTGTGAAGGAGTGTGGGCCGGCTCCGTTGATGAAACGTGGTTCCCATCCGCATGCCTCCCGGTCTTATTCCTTCGGGTTTACACTGGATATGGGGTGTGTGGTTGGAGCTGTGGGTGATGCAGCGCAAGCGACCCATGATCCTTCTGTAGGCGAAGGCGTCCTGTGGCTAGCCACAGTGACAAGCAAATCCGAAACCGGATGCCGTCAACCATAGGTGTGTTACTGTATTTGCAGTAATTGCTGAAGGATGGATTAGGTACCGCTTGCGTAAGACTGGTTGAGAAACTATCTGACTAGCTGCTCTCTGTCCCTCGATTCATCTGGCTTCGGAGTCGTCGTTAATTTGTTCCGCTTTGTCAATTATGTTTTGGACCGGTTACATGACCGTGAATTGAGTTACAATTATCATCTGATTTTAATCTCTTTCTTGTTCAACAGCAGAATCGCACAGTGTAAAAATTGGTGGTTAACTCTCATGCTCGTCATGCTGAAGTTGATGTTGAAAGCTTTATGCTTCTTCACTGCAGCTGTGCTAGTAACTGACACGATCGCTTGTTCCACATCACACTAAATTGGATGAATCTATTTAATTTTATTTACTCGCTTGTGAGGATCCTTCGCATATTTCTCATATATGTTGTGCCTTTTTCAGTACTTTTCGCCGTTACTCGGTTGATATCCTCCGACTTTCCTTGCCCAAGGTCACCGTACAATAGATTTGACTTTATACAATTTTTGATTTACTCAGTTCTGTAATGCTGCCACACAGCTACTGTCCAGTTTGCATGTTTAATGGCTGGTATACCTTGTTTTGGCTGTCTGATGGCCCCAGTGTGCCGTTGCTGTAAGTGAACGTTGATATGGTGCCTACCTGTTGAAATGCAGCAACCTCAATTGATCATCGCCTGTAGAGCAGTCGTGCACTGTCCCAGTGAACATACTAGGTTCAGAGGGAATAGAGCCGGCTGAGGCACAACCAACGTTAGTGTAACTTTGGTACGCATGATTCCTCAAGCGGATAGACGGGAATACTGCTCCTGTGCATGTTGAGGGAGGGTGGGTCGGCTCAGTTGAAGAAACATGGCTCCTATCAATACCAATTCTCACTAACATCCTTGACCCAATCGCTTACATCTTTAACGCAATCACTTACATCCTTAGTGCAGAAGCTACCATTTCTAGTGCGGAAGTTTTCCTCCTTAACGCAAAGGCTATAATCCGATAATCATCGCACTTGCATCCACGTACCACTGCGTAGACAGTGGCTACCAGCTAATAGAATTCGGTATAGCGTAGCGACTGAAAACAGTTACGCGCAGAATACTCACGCATTCGGAGCTGGGTAGGAAAACTGAGATTAGCGTAGTCCAACTCAAATGGACGGTAATTGAGACTTTACTAAACGGAGCTCAGCCGGTACACAGTGCGCCGCGCGCCCTCACTGGACAATGGTGGTGTCTGAGACATCCATCGGAGCGCGCACAGTCCCTGAGGGAAGTGAAACGCGTGCGATCAGATCACCGGGTATAAGCCCCTTTTGTAAGTGAGCAAAGGAGATGTCTGAGGCTAGGGCGCAATTGATGCACGCAGGACAACAGTGCACAACGTTGGCTTGGTACTAAAAAGGTGCTCTGAACAAGAGGTGCAGATAGGTTGTCTCGTTTTGGTGGGTATTCAGGCTAGTTCGGTCGGATAGTTGAAAACGCAGTAGAAGATACCGTTTGACCTGGAAGTCAAGTTGTCCGTAACATAAAGAGCGGAACGATCTCCGTCGCAGCAGAATGGATAAAAATCACAACACGTAACTTCTTTATTTATGCGATGAAATAGCACTTTTGTGACGGATCCACAGGTCTAAGTTGAAAGTGGGATAGAAGGTAATCATATTCCAAACAATTCGTCCCCATACGAACCACACAAGTCAAATCTGATCGAAGTAGACAGAGGACAGCTCCCGGGTGGAATGATATAATCACCAATGGAACGATGAAGGAGGCATGTGTTATATGTTTGATTGCAGCCTTGCAATTCCCTTTCAACGGATATGTTAAACGGTGACTTATATTACTTTCCTTCTTGTTCCGCAAGTACGCAGACATGTACTATCTTGTTGCGAAGGGATTACACTACAAGCAGCCGGTCGCGTGAAATATGGGGGTATAGCGAGCCGGTACACTCTACAGCAGTGACTCCCAACCTATGTATCGCCGTGGACCGGTCGGCGTTCGCTAATTGTAACCCGGCCAGCTGAGGGTGTTTTTTGAACGTTTACATTTTAGATGGTTTTGGGTGAATAATGTACTTGTACTTGTGATTGAACATGTCTTGAAAATTCTTGTGTCAGAGCCCCACGACTGCTTCCACCCACTAACGGTAGTGAGAACACCAACGAACGAGCAACAATGTTCACGCAGCAAGCCAAACCGGCCACCAAGCGTCTGTCTGTGCAACTCAACCACA